GGGGCCGGGGCCGGAGGCGGGCAGCGGGGGACGCGCGCGACCTCATCCGCCCGCCGCCGCGCCCAGCCGCTGGCGCATCCTGATCTGCAACACACAATGCACGCCCTCAGTCACTGCACCACAAAGAGAAGCAGCCCCAGGCGACAAACGCCGTGCTTCAAAGGAACTCGAGAACCCGCTAAACTCCCCGAAAGCAAACGCAAGCGTCTAGTGCGGCCCCTGAAGCTGAGACCACGTTTTTCTGCGCCTCGCTTACATCAGATTGGATTCAACACGAAAATAAGTCATTCTTCAAACGATGTTGGGTCTGACAACTGCTTAATCGTGTAGTTGAGTGCTCTATCGTGTCAACAAACATTTCTGTGAAATGTGTAACCTACGAAATTATCTCTAACTGATCAATAGGACACTCTCCACCTCACGGTTTTCTTTGGCAACTGCATTTACGAAGCACATGTCCTCCGCCACCTTCAACATAACGATATTAATTCATGCCGAATAACTACGTCTACTCATTACAAATATCTCAGTCACCAAGTTACTGGAAAGAGAAATCTATTATACTAATTTTCAATATACGCTTTGAATTGACGAAAATTTATGCAGTCCCTGACCATATGAAAAGTGTCAAGGGTTTCATTTGATACCCGGAAAAATTAAAATATTGCAACAGTTTCGAATGACTGAATAATGTAAATATTTGATTATACTAGTCTTCGATTGCTCATCTCTGATGTTACGACTATATTCTCGCATTCGCATGCGTTTCTTATTACGACACAGCTGACATCTGGGCAGGAGGAATCTGCGGTTATGTGCTATTCAGTATTCGCGCGTACTTTTCTAGAGCATGTGCTATTTTTTTATATTACTAGTGGACCCAGCAATGCTTCGCTCTTGCAATGTATCTCACTTTGCACGGTACTAGTCACACGATTGTTAATCAAGTTTTACGCTTCGCTCTTTAAACATTTTAATATTCGAAAGACTTTCTCGCAAGTATCGGTTTGTTCTGTGTCCTGATTATATCATGATTGTCAAGTATCCTTTTGTTAAAACGTTTTGCCTCAAGATTGAGCATGCACTCGCTACAATACTGTTTTGGAGGTATTCTAATTACTTGTCCGAGATAACGTTCAAGTTATAATTATGGCCAATATTTCACAACCGAAGGGGCAGAACATGCAGCGAAAAACGCTTAATACTTGCAGGTGCGGCGGGTTGCGTAGAGCTTCTGTTCAGGGGCGCTTGAGTCAGCAAAAAAGCACAAAATCATCGTCAGCAACGTCCTCATTTGGCACCTTTGTGCAACAGACGCAAGTGCGAGAAGTTGACAAATTTTTATCGCACCGTTGAACGGTACCGCAAATACGAAGAAACAAAGATTTATATATATATATATATTTATTTATTTATTTATTTATATATAATGGATTTGGAATGCGTTACATTCAAAATCCCACACATTCAACTGGACCTTTTTTTGCTGCTTCAGGACCCAAGTGATGAATAATTGTGGCACAAATACACTGGATTCAATAAAAACATAGGAAAGCAATTGTCAGTGTAAGCGTGTTTCCATTGTTTGATATTTAAAACAAATAGGCTAAAATAAGTTTCACGTCCGCAATATTTAACATGAAAACTCATTACAACACTCCCAGCATTTTTAACATGTTGGTGTTATCCAGCAAGAACGGAAAAAATATCAAGGCAGTAGTTTATTAACAGTAACCTTGGGGCAATATTTTAAGTTCGAATACTTGTTCATTCATTTACGACATTTGGAGTCCTGAGATTTAAAAAAAACTAAAATGATAAAAGCAATGAACTCACTGATACATTTGTTGCTGAGCCCAAATTTATAGGACATTATGTGAAATGAGTACAGATATAAGATATAGGGGGAAATGGGCAACACAGACGGTTGTAGTGCTTAGATTCAGCGGCTTCTGGAACGCAATCGAATGGAAACTAATGGAGATACACCAGCATACGAAATTTTCTAACAATATTTATAACAGCAATTTTGGAAAATTCAGATATTTCAAAGAAAATGAGAACTGCGCCTCTTTCAAACACGTTTATTGTTCTATTCGTGGAAGAAAAAAAACGTTTCGTTTTTCAGGACCTTTTTTGATCAATTGCATTAACTTCAAGCAGATTAGCTAGAGTATTCATGTTTTCAAAAAAACGATCATGACCTTTTTAAAAGATCGGATATTTCAGAACAGCTATTGTTTACAGCAAATATTTAATTTC